ATGGCCGACTGTTTTGTCTTGAGATTTGATCAAATTTGTCGAAATGGAGGCCACTTTGTCAAAAAAATGTAAAATAGCAGTAAAATAGCAAGTCTTTTCTACCACCGTTGAAGATAATGAAAAAAAAATGTTGGATATGATGAACTCCTGAAAAAAAAATTTGCAAGCAAACCTACGGATAAAAAAAAAATTTCCAAACACATAAAAAAAAAAAAAAATTTGCTTTTCACTGAGCCGACACCCCCCCAAAAATCAAATGGTCCAACTCTAACTTCACAGGGAGTCCAGGAACTATAATCAACTGTAGTACGCAGTCTCTATGAGCGGGGGGAGGGGGGGCATCGGCAGGTATCAAGTGTAAAAAATAGACAAGGGATGAAGGCTCCAGCCAGCTCAAATTTTTTAAACTCGAAAAAACAGACGAAAAGAATGAAAAATAAAATCTAAAAAAAATACCAGGTTGATGAATATTAGTTGCTCTTTCACATTTCGCCAAAGCCTAACCTACATTTTACCGATATCTGGGCTCCCTGTGGTAACATTGAAAACAAAAATAGGCAACACAAATTTCATGGAAAAACCAATTTCCTCCAGCCTCAATTTTTCTATCAGATAACCCCTAACTAACTGGCTTGAATGTGATACAGTATAAATTTAATACACGCTATTTTTTTTTTTTTTACTTTTTTTTCGGAGTCTCTCCAGTATTGGTACACTCACAGGTCAACATCATTGTGACACTGTCTTCCTCTTTCAACATTTACTGGTATCATACTGTTTTTAAAGTATGCTCACCAACTAAGACGCTTTTTTTTTTATACTTTACAGGAGGGAAGTGATAACTTCACTTTATCTCATGAATTTGCATTATCTAATTTTCGATTTCATCGATACCTTGCAGTTGATAGTCATAAAGTCACAAGACAGTTACATGGGTAAGTTGTTTACCTTGTCTCTCTCATCGTAAATGAAGGGAAAGATATATGACAGGAAAAGGTCTGTTTTTGTTGACAATCTTGCTGTTAAATAACTCACACAGTTTTTTTCTAATCTCTTTAAAATTTGGATATTTTATTAGCTAGTGTTGGATCTTGGCCAAGATCAATTTTGGTATGTGTTCTATGTAAATTTTACTTAGAATTGTTTTCTTCTTGTGGTTACAATTCTCAAAGACGAACTGGAGCAGGAAGTCAGTAGAAGACAAAGGACTTTTTCGTTAGCGTGGAGGAAAGTTAGTTAGTTAGTGTGGGTGTGGGGGAAAACTAATCTGAAAATTCATTGTCTATTCTTGTTTGTGATTGGTGCTGGCAATGTTTGTGAGATCGTGACGTAGCTCCGTTTTTGAGAATACCTCAAACAACTTTTATCTGATCATTTTCAAACTTTGAAATCGAATTTCACAATAAAATGTCAACCAAGTTCAATCTTGTAGGCCTTGAAAATGGTTGGTGAGTGAAAAGTAGCTCCCCTTAAAATCACAGAGCTATAGGTGTGATTTCAATGCGTTGAGAAATAATGTAAGATTAAAAAAAGTTCTGGATTAATTAAACTAGTGCACAGAATGAAGACATTTGTACTGCTGATAATAAAAAACAAATGTCATGTATTATGCACTCTAAGATCTGTCGATTAGGTAGTGTAGTAACTCGATATGTTATTTTCATTATGTACCGTAAAATCTGTATTAGAAGCTGCATCCCCAATAAAAGTTGCACCCATTCTTTCTGAACAATTGAGAACCAAAAATTCACCATTACTCATATGTGTAGATGCTCTAATAGAAGCCACATCCTCTCTGTTGATTGTACTATTTTAATAGAAGCCGCAGCTTCTCTGTTGATTGTACTATTTTAATAGAAGCCGCGGTTTCTAATACAGATTTTACAGTAGTACTTTTCCTGCCTGTATTCTTGTCAAATTATGCTTAGATATATTTTTTTTTTCATAACTAACTTGTTAATCTTACTTGTTTTGGATCAAAATTGTTCCCAGAAAAATTATAGCCATTAGTTTCTGTGCAAAATTTAGTTTATATTATTGCATTGTTTTAAGCCTTTAATTCTCACTTTTGCCATGCAAAGAAAAGATGTTACCAGCTATATGGTATATTTATGGTATTCATTCTAGTCTGTATGTAGGAATATTATCACTACATTTTGACAGTCTACATCTATATAGTATCTTGCATTGAAATTGACATACAGATGATGCATGGAGTTATTCGGTAGATGTGTATCTACATGTGACTTGTACTGAACATTCAGACTAACTGACAATAGCAGAGCCTGTATCACACATTACCGGTATACATGTATTTCCAGTTTTAATAGTTGTGTTTAGCACACACCCTAAGCAGGATTTTATACAGCAATGCATGCCATAATTGTAGTGAAGACAACAACATGTTCTGTTTAGAATCAGAATAACTCACCAGTGCCAAAACTTTCAGATTTAATTTGAAAAATCTCTTCAAAATAGTGTTAATTGGAAGAGTGTTGATTTTTGAGTCTTGATTTGGATGAGTGCTAAGCGAGTCTGGAGAGTAGCCGTTGTTGCACCTGCAAGTGGTTGATAAAAGTATGTGTATTGTTGATAGGAACTAAATTCATGCAGCAAGGTATTGAAGAATAAATTTCTATAACTAGCTAATAAAGTATTACTCTACTGATATTTCCAAAGTGAATATTCTTAGGATATACCATGTCTTTTCACACATAACAATCATAGCTGTATGCAGTAAGGTGTCAATACAATTGTTTATGTTCAAATGTTATTGTTTTTATTTCAGAGTTTGTGAGAAGTTTGCTATCCATTCTCAGCCACATAAACATGAGGTGTTCAAGAGATTGACAGATAAGTTTCTAAACTCACCATTGTTGATTGATCAGGATTTAATGAAGGTATGTGTGATATATGTATTTGAACTTGATATCTTGATGTATATACCCTATAGAATCTATGGATGTTGTCGTAATCTTAGACATCTGCTCACTCCTTGTAATGCTGCTATAAATAAATAAATAAACAAACAAACAAACAAACAAATAAATAAATAAATAAAGCAATTTTAAAAAGTACATGTAGTGTGAATAAACGTTTTTCTTGTTCTTGTCTCTAGATAGATTGCATATACATAAATTCATTAAAAATCAGTACTGTAAAATACTTTATTTGAGCTGGAATTAATTTCTGCTGAAAAGACTTTTTTGGTGTTTTGTATGGAGTTTATTTTCACTGATTTTTGATGAGTTGAATGAAAAATATAGAAAAAAAGTATATTCACTGGATTTTATTTTCACTGAACCATTCCTTCAACAAAAATAATGAAAATAAATTCAGATCAAAAATAAAATATTTTATAGTGAACAAACAAATCTACCTTTGTCTAACACTAGTTTTACTTTTTTAGTCCCCGTTCGAACGCAGTCCGAAAATGGGGACTTATGTTGGTCGTGCGTGCGTCTGTGCGTCCGAACCTGTATCTTAGACATTCCTGGATCAATCACAATCAAACTTCACACATACAACATACATGATATTATACATATGCACATCAATTTGTTTCACGATCTGATTCAAGATGGCCGAATGGCGACCATTTTTGTACTAAAAAATCATTAAAATCAAGCATTTCTCTGCTGTTTACAGATGGGTTTTGTTCAAACTTGGTATATACATTGAATGTTATAGGATCTTGATGTACATCATTTTCTTTTCAGATAATATTCAAAATGGCCGACTGGCGGCCATTTAGTTTTAATGAATGTGTTTCTAATGTCATATTATCTCTGACTTGCTTTGACTGATTATGTTCAAATTTTAAATATTTATTATACATCATGTCATAGATATACAGATATATTGGTTTGACGATTCTATTGAAAATGGCCAAATGGTGGCCATTTTTGTGCTAAAAAATCATCAAATATCAAGCATTTCTGGAAGGATTTTGTTCAACCTTGGTACATACATTAGACATTACAGGTTCCTGATGCACGTTATTTTATTTTTCAGATCGGATTTAAAATGACTGACTGGCGGCCATTTTGTTTTAATGAATGGGTTTCTAGAGCCATATCTCTTACATGCTTTGACTGATTATGTTCAAATTTTGTATATTCCTTATAGTACATAATGTTATAGATATATACATGTATGCAAAATGGCTGATTTTGTTTTAATTAAATATCTCTCAATATGGACAAGTACTTGTTTGATGATCAGATACAAATGTCAATCATTTAAATGTTAAACAATCATCATATTCCTGACATGTTTATATTCCAACTATATTACTATAAACAAAACTATATATCTTAAATTCGATAACTAACTGGGACTGTGCCATGCATGGCTTGTAATTCATGTTTTTCTGTTTATTATTTCTCCTCCTGTAATAACTTCTTATCAGTCTGATGCTCATTATGGAATATTATCAATATTGATGTTATTATCTGAGTCTCCAGTCAGTCACCACTATAAGGAACAAGTATCAAAACCTAAAACAGGTAGGAGTCATACAAGTACTGTACACATATTGATTCTTGCCTTAGTGTTATTCTCCAACTATTATGTCTCCTTGGTTGCCTTAAAATACACATCAAAATCTCTATGTTGTCTGTTTTCGTATTTTTTTGGAATGTTATTGTGAGGTATAAAAATATAAATTACCAGTAATAGCGATAAAACTGAATGATGTAAAAACATTGAGAGTTACCACAGTATGTTGATTTCAGCTAATGTAATCAGTAAGTAAGGGTCAACAAGTTATCTAAAAAAATGCAGACTTGACATGATGACGGTCGCCAAGATGAAGCATTGATTGTTGCATTGACTGACCATGTTGTCAGAATCACTAATTTGTTCTTATTATTGGGATTGAAATTTAAACAACAAATTTGATGGTGAGCTGAAACCTTTAGGCATGTGGTCCAAGGTTCTGGAAACAGTAAAAAAAAAAACGAAAAAAAAACCTAATATATTTCATCTATGTCCATTGTAATAATTCCATAATTAGCCATTACCTTTCAATACCGGTATCACCCGGTCATGGTTACTTGCAGTGGGGAATTTTTCAAAAGACCTGCATTACTCATCATACAAAAAGTTCAAAATATTGGAGTACATGTAGCCACTAAATACTGGGACGGTGGTCAAACAGTTAAATGATATGAACACACTACTGCAGTCTCTTGAAAAAGGAAGATAAATCAGCCAATGCCCCATGGACTTGATGAACAGCCATTAGTGTTTGTAAAAGTTCTGAAAATACAGACCCAATCAGTAACTATACTTGAAATAAAATAAAGGTTGAGATGTTAGCGACTGTTAGCACATCCATAACATAGTTTAATACCATCCTGTTATTTCATACAGTCATAATAATCCATACTGAGACCTGGTACAATGGGTGCCCATCCTCTTCCAATGGAATACTCTCGAACGATTCTGATTTTTAAACGTTACACAATAACTACAAAATAGATTTGATTTTAGATTTTCTTTTTAAATGAATGAATTGCATTTAGTTTAAATTGGTTACAGGTGCACATTCTGTGAAGTGAAAATGAATGCAATTATGACAAACACTACCATATGGCACATGTTAGTTTAAAAATGCAATAGGCCAGAAAATATTATTTCAGAGTATTAGTTTGGCCCATCAGTGAGTTTTTATTATGGTAATATTCAAATAAGACCCTGACATAATATTTTTACCATATTCATTTTCAGAGGAAAAGGACAATTTTGATTGGACATCATATCTTTTGGAAGGAATTGAGATTCCAAGTTTTCTTTCATCAGATGAGGTATGTGTGTGTCCATAAAATGCATCATACAAGTTGAAATCTGAACAATCACCTCTCCACATGAATAGCCACCACTACACGAAAACTTACCACCCCACATGAACATTTACCAGTTATTTCTTCATATGAACAGTCACCTCTCCATAAGAAGTCTCCCCTCCACATGAACAGTCTCCACCCCACATGAACAGTCTCTTCTCCACATGAGTAGTCGCCTCTCCATATGAACAGTCACTTCCCCATATGAAAAGTCACTTCCCCACATGAACAGTCACCACTCCACATGAACAGTCACTTCCCCATATGAACAGTCACTTCCCATATGAACAGTCACTTCCCCATATAAACAGTCACCACTCCGTATGAACAATCACTTTCCCATATGAACAGTCACTTCCCCATGTGAACAGTCACTTCCCCGTATGAACAGTCACCACCCCATATGAACAGTCACCACCCCATATGAATAGTCACCATGCCATATGAACAGTCACCACCCTGTATGAACAGTCACCACCCCACATGAACAGTCACCACCCCATATGAACAGTCACCACTCCATATGAACAGTCACTTCCCCATATGAACAGTCTCCACCCCATATGAACAGTCTCCACCCTATATGAACAGTCACCACCCCATATGAACAGTCACCACCCCATATGAACAGTCACCACCCCATATGAACAGTCACCACCCCATATGAACAGTCACTTCCCCATATGAACAGTCACCACCCCATATGAACAGTTACTTCCCCATATGAACAGTCACCACCCCATATGAACAGTCACTTCCCCATATACCGTATTTATCCGGGTATAAGCCCAGGATCCTGAACATGGAAAATTGCCAAAAAGAAGGGGTGGGCGTTTGCCAGGAGATCCCCGGCAAAAAAAACAAAAATTCGCGAAAATTGACAACACGCAGATCGAACTGCAGCAGGGAATAGAACGGCAAATGAAAACATGCAACGGAAATAAATGAACAATATGCAACACTAGAAGTAAAACAAAAATAATGTATTGTTTATAATGTGACAAATAAACCAGAAATAATAAAAATCGACAGTGAGGAATCATTTGAATTAGGATTTTCCCGCCGACAAACACGCCCAATACGCGTGAACTCAAAATGAATTAAAATGTCAGGGGTTAAACTGCGTAAAATGATTTCCGGTCTCGACAAATTAAGAATCAACCGTCATACGAGATCAATAATAACTTACAAATTTACACAGTAAAAATTATAAAAATTCGTAGCTGTTTGAAAAAAGTTCTCAGATCTTTATTTGTACGTTCATTGCCATCTTCGTCAAACTCAAAACCCTCAAATGTCCAAGTCGGCGTCACTGTAGCCGTCGAACAAAATCCCTACAACTTATTCCTGGAGTTCGTCTATATCGTCCCACACAATTTGGACTTTTAATCCACGGATTTCGCAGTCTGTCAGCTTGGCACATTTCATTCATGATGATGTCTAATCATATTAAAGAGACAAGAAAAATGGGGTCGCTCTGCTGCGATGGCACAGGATGCTTTTGTTTACAGTCTAGCAATCATCTTTGACCTTTATGCATCTGCTTTACTGATTGGCTTAGAACGACATCACTACTAGTATTTCATCATAAAGGTCAAATCGTGACATTGCTTTCTTATCAGACTCGACGCTTATTAATCACGGTGAAAGTTATCATTCAGCAAGTTTCAGCGGTTGGAATGTCTCACTATAAGGATATCGCGGTGGACTTGAAACAGGAAGTTTTTTTTTTATCCAACGACAGAAGAATAGTTTTCATGACAGAAATGCAATAGCGGTGATAAAAGATGGTAAAAAAGTTGGCAGTCTTCGGCGTGACATTGCAAAATTGCTGGCCCCAGTTATGGATTCGCAAGCTGCTACAAAATATTTATAAAGCCAAAATAACGTGATTTCAACCATTCTCCCAGGTATGATTTGCTACAATATTGCAACATTGTTTTCATTGTCGACGACGCTAAAGCCGAACTAGTGTGACACTCGGGCTTGCTTAGCGGCTCTCCTTATACGATTTGCTTGAATCGTTTCTAAGGAAGCACAAACCAAACGGCCGGCCCATTTTAGGGCCACGACATATTCAAAAAGAGAACTACCGTTTGTGCTTTAATATTTATTACCAAACGCTTCAGCGTGGTATTAAGAGTTTGTTTTCAGGGGTGGGTGATACCAAGGTGGAAAATGGATGCACATAAGGGGTTAATTCCTTGAATTGCAATATAGAGGGTTCAGGCTGAAATACAATATATAGTGTTTTCATGTTTCGTCTGATATTTCTGTGGTATTCTGCTGCTGTAAGTAATGCACGATTTGTTCCGAAATTCAGTATATTGTGTGTATTCCAGGGTTATTCGTTTTTTGCTGAAAACACCCCTACTTTTTAGTGGCAGAGTTTGAATAGTCTCACTCCCACTGGGAAATCTGCATTGTTGCTTGAATGTGAGTTAATTAAACACATTTTCCAGACCGGCGAAAGAGTATGCAACAGCCAATTTTAACAGCCTGTCACGTGATTTTAGTCTGAATGTCAACAGGAAAAGAGGCTAGTCCATTTTACGCAGGAGTAATTGGGAGTAGAATATGTGAGGGATAGTATCAACAGAGATGTGTATAGTGAAAAGTATATCTATCCTTCATTTACATCTCTGAGCATTTCTGTTTTAGTATATTGGTTTGAAA